AACCTGAGGCACCTGATGAGACAGGTTTAGCCGAGGACAAAGACGAAGCGGATGTCATTGCCAGCGATGCAGCTGAATGTGAAAAAGATTCTGATGACGTCGCGGAGCTGGTTGAGGATTCTGACGATACATGCGAATCTGTCGAAGAAACAGATGACAAGTGTGGGACTGACGACAGAGCTGGAGATGTCTGTGAAGCTGAGCTCATTGACGATGCCTTTGAGGAAATTGACGATACAGGATAATCTGAGGACCCAGAAGACGACATAATCGAATCAGTCGAAGAAATTGACGACAGAGCCGAGGGTGTCGCAGAAGTCGATGACAGGGGCAAATCAGTTGAGGCCACAGACGCCGACGTGCTTGCAAAAGACTCACTGGAAAAGGTGCTTGATGTTGATGAGGAAGAGGGTTCAACGGGGGCAACAGGAAAGCTATTTGGACAATTGCAATTCAGGGGTACAATTTGACGTGGGGGTTTGTATTTGTTCTTCAAAACATAACCGTTCTCGAACGCATCCCATTTCAAATATAGCTCATTATAGCCCTGACCAAGAACAAGCAGTATTCTCACACCATCGCGGTAAATTAGCCATAGACCTAAACTAGGAGTAAATGCACCTATTCTAACCTCAGTGCTACCACGAAAAATAATATTGTCTTGGAAGCCTAAAACTCTGACTAGGGTCTGATCAGGATTTTCAAGCATCTCAATATACAACTTTGAGTCAGGTGAATCCAAGTAGATTGTTTGATCCCTTAAGTTTGTGCGCAGCACAATTTCCAAGCGAAACTGTGACTTTTCACCGACAAAGATACAGCCAAACCCTGTCGCGCTAGTAATTGACTTCAACTGAAGACCATAGTAACAAATTGAGCCCGTATTTACAATACTGAATTCTCTGTTTTCATCAAGGTTTCCGAGGGTCAATGGAGGAAGGTGATATTGCAGCGATCCCTGGAGAACCATCGAAACACTATTTTCCCACAGTTGTGTAGAGACAATGTCGATTTTGGACTCCAGGGATTCACCAGAAATCCCCACAAACATTTGACCACTGTTCGTTAAAACAGTGACTTCAGCTTGAAAAAAACTGTTTTGAGCTCTCAGGGCGTCGAAGGCAAATATGTTTTCAGTATGGAAGTACAGTCCCGCAAATTTCATGAAAGTTTTCTCTTCAAGAGCATTTGTGAAATAGAAATCACCATAATTCTGGAAACTTTCACTCAAAGATAAATCAGAAACGTTGATATACGAAACAAAAACATCTCTATTAATTCTTAGAAATTCAAGATTGTGTATGACTGGGTCGTGATAAAAAGTATTTTTGTCGATGATCAAACCAAAAACAAGACCAAGGAGAAGCGAGGTAGCCGCCACGCAAGTGCTCAGTTTCATATCGCAAGCTTCCAGCAAAAGTTAGTCCAATAGCTGTGTTCACAAAGCCTACTTCGAGTAGAAGATATACTGTACAGGCTACTTCAGACCAGGTTTTTTTTTGGATTTTCTTCCAAGTAAATCAAGAAAGTTGCGGCTTATAAAGTTTATTTGCAAATTATTTAGTACAGTGTCTCACCTTCCTAGACAGTACACTTTTTCTGGCTGATACAATATAATTCTTCAGTTCTTATCAAACAATAGACGAGTGCTGGGGAGCAGTTTATGTACACTCCACACGTTTCATAACATGATGTTGCCTGAAGCTTCCTCATAAAAATGACACCAGCTTCTAAATTCACTCGAATATGCATCAAAAAACCAACAATGCGATGAAAAAAAAACACTGGGTGAGACATGTCTATCCGTCTACTGATGTTGCAAATGTTTCTTGTCTTTTAAAATTGAAGCAACAGCTTCACTGTTAGGGACTTCACGGAGCATAGCGGTTATGTATTACTAATTGATCACTAGTTTCTCCAGGACTTTACATGTGTTCTGTCCCAACTTCATATATTTCATCTGAGGGTCACCCCTAGAACTAGAGAGAATATTCTGTGAGTTGTTTAAAATGATATCCGACGGATCTCACCGTAATCAAAGTGCATATATATATATATATATATGCAGTCCATTGACCCTAGCTGATACCAGGGACCTTACATTCACACAGTGAAGTATTTATTCTCAAAAGCTTGCTGTTTGGCCATCAGGTTTTTTTTATAGTAGGGAAAGCGTGAATTTTTTCTTTGAAATTCATCTTTGAGGATAATGAAAGAATCCAAAATTCTGTGTCCCAGGACATACTTTTTCAAAACTTGCCTTCATTAAAATCAGTGCTTCGCCTTCTGTCGAGGTTTGCAGGAGCCCGAAGGGAATAGATCTATAGGGATTGCTGCGTGGAGCCATCTCCATGGTGCTGCTAATTTGTAGGAAGTAAATCTTTCCTTCGAGGATTTTATCTTCGTAAGCTTTCTCCTCTCTTAAATTATTTCCACTTTAATAGATCTCAGTGTATTATTACTGACTCAACTACCGACGAGAAATCTTTCCGAGAACCGCGTCAGGATCATGACTTCTTTGTACCTCAAAGGAAACTTCAAGAATGGTAAAATCCATATCACAAATTATTTTTTTTAGCGGACCTCACTACCTGTTCTGTCATTTATTTCCGCTTCTTCTGGTAATAGGAATATCAGCTCTTATACTCACAGAAGCATCATCTATAGTGATCTATTGGCACTAATGAGCGGAGTAGACTTCAACAGATGCTTGTGTATACAAATACAGATGGTTCCAACTACTGAGACAATACGAAAATGCATTTAAACATTCCCTAGGCCTTCCCAAAGCGTACAAGATGCTGTTTAATTTTGTCCATAGAGTTAATACAAGGTGCCTGAAAATGCTCGCAGGGATACACCTGCAAAAAGGATCGTCTTCCAAAAAATCACATTTGGCTAATGAGATAAGAATGTGACCTTTCCAGAGATGTCACAAATTTTTTGTTTTGAATTCAGAAATACCTGCTCACTATTACTGTGATATTTTATTTCATAGTTAATTTCTCTTGTCCAATGTTACCAAGCATTATGAAGCGAAGGCTTGATGTATGTCTATCAAAATTTGTTGTCTTCCAGGCCCCGTGATGTTTTCATTCCAGAGACTGTGCTATTTTGAAAAATAGGCTGAGCTAAATTCATGTACCCCAGGGTATGTTCTGTTGTTACCTTTTTCAATTTTTCTTGGTTCTTCGCCTTCAGGGCTATGCTAAATACTGTATGCGAGTGGTGTCTTGTTATCGTTTAATATTTCTCAAAGTTTCGAAAAATTTGGCAACAAAAAATATGTGGTGAGTTTAAGCTTGGAGTGCGCCATTTTGCGGAATAGATATCAATATTTGATTCGTAGGACAGCAAGTGAAAGACGAAGAAGTGGCAAAGTCAAAGATCGCCTTGCTGTGCATATTTAGCCATGTACAATTCAGGAGTACTTTCTGTTCCCCGCTCATGAAGCAACTTTAGCTCCGAGCCATTTGTGGCTCAGCTTATTCTCAATATCAATAAAAATACTTGTCCGAAAGTTCATAACACTGGAAAATCTCCACGACAAAAGAATAATTCTAACTTTTAGTGTAAAATGATTCGTAGACGGCACGTGTAAGAGAATCCCTGGGATGGACGGGAAGGTATGAGATAAGTTAGTCCATTTGTTTGATGTTGGTTAAATATACGATAAATTGATGTAAGATCTAAGAAAGCCCCCAAAATAAATAAAATGGTAATGTTTTGATGCTTGTAATTGGCTCCTTAAGAATCTCAGGAAACTATTGCAGATAGGGAGATCACAGTTCGAATTGATTAACCGAGGGGCCGATAGCCTGGGTGCATTTGATGTAATGTGGCGCAGTTAAACATGTTAAGCGAGTGTCTTACTGTGATTTTTCTAGGTGCACATAAAAGCAAAGAAACATAACATGGTAGGCTACGATTTGTTCTCTCTGGCGACTTCTACAAAAAAGCGAACGATTCTAAAAGCAGAATTTATTCGAAAAATCAGCCTGGTGGTTGGCGAAAGAATATGTAAAAGCGGCGGCTAAACTCAAGGCAATGATCAACAAAATCAAGGGGAAAACATCGTCCAAGCTAACATCCTCGAAAATATGGTACATCAAAAGAAAAAAACAGAATCTTCAAAAAGGAACAACTAGAGCAAAATTGCTAACAAGGGCACAAGAACCATACCCAGAAGCCTAGAGCTGGATGCTGCTCCATTAAAAGTCGAGATTGATGATGTTTGAGATTCGCTCATAGGGCCCAAGTCTGTGGCAGTACTCAGATAGTATGCCGACTCACTAGCTAATTCGCCGTAATCACAGTTGATACACGCAGTCAGGGTGTATGTCACCATGGTAGTTAGAGACGAGCTTGGTCCAATAGCGACAGTTGTTAGAGTCGAGACAACTTCGATTGTGTAGCTAGTATCAGGAGGCACACTTGCCGCATAAGCAGTGGACGTAGAGGTCTTCAAGCTATACTCCTCTGGAGATCTCGTCAGTATACTTTCTGAATTGTAACCACTCATCATCGTCGAAACTCTTGTGGTCAGAGAACCGGCAGCGTCAGTTGTAACAATAACCACAATACACTCTGTTTCCACAGAGCCGTCGGGCATCGTTGTGGTGTAAG